CCCCCCCGGGGGTGCTGGGTGTCCCCAAAGCTGCGCTACCCCCAGCTTCTCCATCCAGGAGTTCAACCTCATCCAAATGTCGTATAGATGAGGCTGAACGGATGCGGAGTTGGAGAATTTCTATGTGAGGGCTGACAGCATTCTCCGGCTCGCCCTGGCTTCGTCCAGGCTCTCTCCGATCCCGGGGCTTGCTGCCCGATCTCCGTGTGCTGCTGGGGAGCCCCGCTGCTTCTTTTTGCCTTCCAGTCACGCAGGTGCTGCGGTCGAGCTGGTGAAAGGGAACTTGTCTGCGGGGTCCCAGGGGAGCGATGCTCGCGCAAGCGTGAGCCAAGCACAGGCAGGCTCAGGGCCAGGGCGGCTGGAAGGCAGTGGCTGCCTTCTCCCTCCCCAGGGTCCCTCTTCGAGCAAAAAATCCCTTTTGGGGTGCAGAAGGGGGTCCCTGTGCTGTTGTTGGGACGAGAGCGGAGCGTGGGGCTGCTCAATTGAGCCCAAGATGCAGCCAGGCACTGCAGCGGGTTTATTTGAGTAAGGAGAGTGTATTCTCTTTGCTCTGGTCCTCTGTTCACTCTGAAGCCTACTGATTACCACAGAAATGCCATGTCACTACCTGCTACTCATTTTAGCAAAGGAACTTTTCATGTAGGGCTGGAGGAGGGGGGTTGAGGGTGAATTTAGGGTCCAGTCTGGAACTGGGGGAGGTGGGAGCATATGGGGAGGGGGTGCAGACACATACACACCCCCCCACCCCCATCATCCCATCATGTACCACACCAACATATTTCCCCCAGACTCAGTTTTTGTGTCTTTTGACTTTATTTTCACCAGATTCGGCCATGGCTAAGCAAGTGCCACCGCCCCTGTGCCACTGTCACCCCATTCCCTCCCTCCTCTTGCTGCCAGCCTTGGGGACATGCTGTAGCTTTGTCACCCGTGGGTGCAATGTCCTTGAGCCCGCACCGTCCTTGAGCTCAGTCTTGTGGGTCTGTGCTGCACGGCCGCCGAAACTCCTGCCCGTACTCGTGGATCCATTTATTTGCCACTGGAAGGGACAAGGACCCCTGTCTGTCCCCATGTAACCCCTCTCTGACCCCGCTCCGGTGTTGGTGACATATTTTTCCCTATTATCCAGGATTTTTCTGGGTTCCCAGCCCCTCTCACTTTCCCGCCAGCTGATCTGCCCCTCCAACCCCATGTCACCCCAGGGTGACACCGGACACCGTTTCTCACCCCACTTGTCCCCAGCCAGGACAGGGCAGCCGGCATGCAGGGTGTCCCCGTCACCGTCCCCATTCCTCCGGAGGTTCCACCAGAAGAGAGCCGCGTTCTGTGGAGCAGAGAGGGGTTTGGCACCCCAAAACAGAGACAGGATCTGTAAAACTGGGGTTTGGAACCCCAAAATACAGCTGGGAGCTCTGGGGTTGAGGATAGCACCCCAAAATAGAGCTGGGATCCCTGGGTTGGGGTTTAGCACCCCAAAACAGTTAGGAGCTCTGCGGGTAGGGTTTGGCACCCCGTAACAGAGCCAGAAGCTGCAGAATTGGGGTTTGAAACCCCAAAACAGAGCCAAGATCTGCAAAACTGGGGTTTGGAACCCCAAAACAGAGCTAGGAGCTCTGGGGTTAGGGTTTGGCACCCCAAAACAAGAGCTGGGAGCCCTGGGATGCGACACCCCTAAAACAGAACTGGGGAGCCTAGGGTTGGGGTCTGGCATCCCAAAAAAGAGCCAGGATCTGCAAAATTGGGATTGGTACCCCCAAAACAGAGGCAGGAGCCCAAGGACTGGGGTGTGAACCCCCTAAAACAGAGCTGGGAGCCCTGGAGTTGAAGTTTTGACACCCCAAAACAGAGCTGAGATTCCCCAAATTGGATTTTGGCACCCCAAAACATGGCAGGGAGCCCCAGGGCCAGGGTTTGGCACCCCAAAACAGAGCAGGGAGCCCCGGGTTTGGTGTTTGGCACTGGGGGAGGGGCACATGCAGGTCTCCCTCACCTTAACCACGGGCACGCTGAAGTTGGCGTAGATAAAGGCCGTGGAGCCGCCGGCCTCCACTGTGCTCAGCTGGAAAAGGAGCAAAAAATATGAACCGTCACCCTCCCCCCGTGATACAGCTGCTTTGCCTGGGGAAACTGAGGCACAGAACCTCCTTTGGTCCCCCACCACGCTTCCCTGGCTATTGTGTGGCACTAACACTTAAATACTCCATGTTCACTGTCATTTAACATCCCACCACGGTCTGATTTAGGGCTGCCCTCGCCCATCTCAAACCCCATTCACTCTGAACCCTACTGATGACCGTGCAGGTGGTTTCTCTAGCCCTGGAGATGAGGAGGGGAACTCACGTAGATCATGAGCGTGGCGATCCTGTTGCCTGACTTCATTCTGTAAAGGGGGCTCTTCCTGGACTGCCCCAAGAGCGAGGAGGTGGGGACGGTCAGTCCCATGGGGACAGTCACCCCCAGACTGACATGGCTCAGCCTGGAGGCACCTCACGCCTGAACAGAGCTGGTGGCTCTGAGCTGCCCCCAGGGAAATCTCTCCCTCTCCCTTCTTCCTTCCCTCTTTCCTCCCTCCCTTCCCAGGAACATCCCAGGGACCACCATGGGGACACTCCCAGGGAACATCCAGGGACCTCCCACCAGGCAACCATCCCAGGAACATCATGGGGATCACCTACGGGTCCACCTCCAGTGACATATGAGGGACCAGCCCAGGGTCAACCCCAAGGTCCCACCCCAAGGACTATTTTCCAGAACATCCAAGGACCACCTCAGGGACTGTCCCTGAGACCACCCTGGTGACCATCTGAGGGACCATCCCAGAGACCACCCCAGAGACAACCCCAAAGACCACCCCAGGGACCATTTCCAAGAAAATCCCAAGGACCACCCCAGGGACTGTCCCTGAGGCCATCCTGGTGACCATCTGCGAGACCACCACAGGATCACCCCAAAGACCATCCCAAGAGTGCCACAGGAACCCCCATGGCCACCACCCTATGGCCACCACCCCATGGCCACCCAAGCATCTCCCTGACCGTGGCGTGGTCGAAGTGTGGCTCGTAGTGGCCTCCCAACCCGTAGTTGACCACCTGCAGGTACTCGGCATAGGGTGGCCGCAGGTCCAGGCCGGTGACGGCAGCGATGCGTTGCTCCAACATTCGCACCACCGGGTCGGCCGTGTCCTTCAGCCAGGCACTGTGGGACCACCCCACTTTCAGCCCCCCCAAATTCACGCATGGTTGGGCTTAACCCTAACAGCACTGCTGGGTCTGGAGGACCCAGACCTCCCCAGCACGGCTTCACGGCCACCTCAGTGGTGGCAATGGGGCCGTGGTGGTCCCACTGGCTGGGGGACATGGGGGGGGGGGGGTACTACCTCTTGCTTATCCGGTACTCGGCTTTCTGCTGCTTCTCCCCAGAGGCCACCACAGATCTCTGCAGCTGGAGGACACATGGTGGAGGGGAGAACGTTGCTGCAGATGCCCTCAAACTAAGCAAGGACCTTGGTTGAGGTCAAAATTGGTGGGTTTACACCAGCTGGTTGCCAAACATCCCCACCCCAAGGTGTCCCACTGGGGTGATGGACACAATGAGAGCGGTTGGATCCAATGCAGTTGGGTGTCACCAAGTCAAGCCTGGCTGGGAAGGGGTTTAGGTGCATGCATGGATGCCCTTTCTCCCCAAAATCTCTTGGGAGGGCTCAGATGGAGCTAAACTGGTCTCAGATGGAGCTAAGCTGGGTTCAGATAGAGCTAAACTGGGCTCAGAAGGAGCTAAGGTGGGTCATCTCCCCAAGGTTCTCACTGCAGAAAGCTTTGGCCAAGCCTTGGCTTAAAGCCCTTCCTATCTCTTCATGCTCTGGATGGTCCACCCTGGACCACCATCTCTTGGGACACCCTTCTCCAGGACAGGGACATCCTTGGGGATGGGGTTGGCTCACCCAGGGTCCTGCCAGCCCCTTGATGGTCTCAGCCTCAGCGTCGTTGACGAAATCGTGGTACAAAGCCACGTAAGGTCGTATGCGGACCATCTCCTTCTTGGCAGGTTGGAGAAGGAGATAGGGGCTGCCGTTGGTCTCGTAGGAGCAGCCAAGGTGTGGGAGATGCTCCAGGGCCGGCTGGGGAGATAGAGAACCAAGGAGGGCATGAGAGGGGGAGAGCGATGGGGTGGGGGACCATGGCACCCCCCTGCCAGCCCCACCTGCCCCCGCGGGCGCTGGCACAGCTCCTCGTAAGCGTCGCGGCTCTGCAGGCGGGTGCTGTTGGGGCGTCGCAGGGGTCCAGGACTCGCCATCGTCCCCGTCTCCAGCAGCTTCTCATACTTGGCCACATTCTTCACCACCCTTTTGGTTACTGGGGTCTACCAAAGAGATGGTGTCACCCGAAACGCCGTGTCACCGTCACCACCCTTCCCTGACATCAGTCCTTGGAGAATTACCCCACGTGGGGGCAAGAAATGGGGTGAAGGAGGCTGGTGCCATGCAGAGGTGATGGGGACACCCCAAAACTTGTCCCCTTCTCCTGCTGCATCCAAGGTTGTCCCACGTACCATAGTGGAGAAACTCCCTGGAGAGGTTCAAGGCATGGGAGATGTTTCCAGC